AAAGCATGGTTTGCTATGGAAAGCCACAGCTATCTTAAGTCGTGACATATTATGTCATGTAGAGCATTTACCATGTTGTGTAGTGCATTTACCATGTTGTGTAGTGCATTTACCTTGTTGTGTAGTGCATTTAGCATGTTATGTAGTGCATTTACCTTGTTGTGTAGTGCATTTACCTTGTTGTGTAGTGCATTTACCATGTTGTGTGGTGCATTTGCCTTGTTGTGTAGTGCATTTACCATGTTGTGTAATGCATTTACCATGTTATGTAGTGCATTTACCATGTTATGTAGTGCATTTACCATGTTGTGTAGTGCATTTACCTTGTTGTGTAGTGCATTTACCTTGTTGTGTAGTGCATTTACCTTGTTGTGTAGTGCATTTACCTTGTTGTGTAGTGCATTTACCTTGTTGTGTAGTGCATTTACCTTGTTGTGTAGTGCATTTACCATGTTATGTAGTGCATTTACCATGTTGTGTAGTGCATTTACCTTGTTGTGTAGTGCATTTACCATGTTATGTAGTGCATTTACCATGTTATGTAGTGCATTTACCTTGTTGTGTAGTGCATTTACCTTGTTGTGTAGTGCATTTACCTTGTTGTGTAGTGCATTTACCTTGTTGTGTAGTGCATTTACCTTGTTGTGTAGTGCATTTACCATGTTGTGTAGTGCATTTACCTTGTTATGTAGTGCATTTACCTTGTTGTGTAGTGCATTTACCATGTTGTGTGGTGCATTTACCTTGTTATGTAGTGCATTTACCTTGTTATGTAGTGCATTTACCATGTTATGTAGTGCATTTACCTTGTTATGTAGTGCATTTACCTTGTTGTGTAGTGCATTTACCTTGTTGTGTAGTGCATTTACCATGTTATGTAGTGCATTTACCTTGTTGTGTAGTGCATTTACCTTGTTGTGTAGTGCATTTACCTTGTTATGTAGTGCATTTACCTTGTTGTGTAGTGCATTTACCTTGTTGTGTAGTGCATTTACCTTGTTGTGTCGTGTATTTATCACATGACAGGTTTACTGAGCAGCTTCATCAATTAGCAAAGAATTTTGCCCCAATAATGGAATGACCT